TATTGTTACTTCTTCATATAGAATAATGTGTACTGATATGGTATTTGTGCTTTTCTCCTATTCCCTTATTGTTCTTCAATATGCTGCCTTTCCTATAATTGTAAGTGGTTACTTAGAGTATGTTATGTATCCTATATGTGCTGTGGTTCTTTGTACAACTTTATTTTTGTTTGATAAAACCTTTTTCTTGAGAAAAAAAAAGTTCCAGTTCCTGCTGTCTGTCCTGGGGGATTGATATATTGTGTCCTCCAGTTCACTAAGGAGGGTGGCTTGCCTGCCAGGTTGTATTGGGCCCCATGATTTCTAATGATGGATTTGCACCTCATGCTTATTTGTTTTACCGATTCCTTTTTATTGCTGAAATATTTAATATACATAGCACAAGGTCGCAATGTTATGTAATCAGCTAAGCTTGATTAGAGTTTGTCATGGTTTTTCATTGTTTTCTTATGGATAACTTTAGCACAGTGATGCTTTTTTATTTTTTCTGTGCCATTGTACTTCTCTACTGGGAAATTGCTATAGCCCAGTCTTCACAATCTCATGGTGTTTGATATGACCTTCTCTGACAGGTTGCAAGTTCACGCTTCAACAAAACTAAGCCAAAGTCAAGGAGAAGAGCAGCTGTGCTTACAAAGAGATCAGTAACATGTTAGATTAAAATAGCAGGATAGAGCTTCATAAACTGCATTTTTGCTGAAAATTATACTTTGATTTTCTTAGTGTAGATTATAGAAGGCAAACAGCATGTTGGTTCTTGCAAGACTTCTTTAGTACGCTTGCATGGTATGGTGTCTTGTGAAATTGCTTCCAAGCTTCATGGCATTACAAGTTACAATTGAAAGCCAAGACATATTATACATCACAGTCTTTTTTTCACTATTATTTCTTTCAGCTGCACAAATCAGCATGAAAGCTTGCCAATCTACTAAATTATTATACTTGCAAAAGAAAAAGAAAAGTATACATGTTAATTTTGTAGTAGCTGCCAGAAATCAGTTTGCAAGCTGTGATATTTGCCTTATATACAAAAACACACATTTATCAATTTTAATTTTACTTTGTAGTTCTAACTAACAATGTACACAGTACATACTGCTGTTTGCATAACAGTCAGTGATACACCTACTTGTCATCCGCCCTGAATTTCCAAAGACCCTTCAGTGAGTGGCAAAGCTAGTATGTATATTCATTTAGATCAAGGCAACATTACGGCTGTTTGTGGGGTGTGAATTTGTCCTGAAAATTTTTTTTTAGATTGCACAAATGCACCAACGTGCTGTGCCAACATAAAAAACCTTATAATAGCTTATGGTAGAAAATGTGTTATTTATGTACTTACAGTTGCAAGAAAAAGTATGTGAACCCCTTGGGATTACGTGGAGTTTTGCATGAATTGGGCATAAAATGTGCTCTGAACGTCCTCTAAGTCACAACAATAGAAGAACACAGTCTGCTGAACATAATACTACACAAACATTAGATGTTGCCATGGTTTAATTGCACATAACATGTAAACATTCACAGTGCAGGGAGGAAAAAAGTATGTGAACCTTTGGACTTAATAACTGGTTGACCCTCCTTTGGCAGCAATAACCTCAACCAAACGTTTCCTGTAGTTGCAGATCAGACCTGCACAACGATCTGGACTCATTTTAGACCACTCCTCTTCACAAAACTGTTTCAGTGTAGAAATATTCTTGGGATGTCTGGTGTGAATCGCTCTCTTATGGTCATGCCACAGCATTTCAATCAGGTTGAGGTCAGGACTCTGACTGGGCCACTCCAGAAGGTGTATTCTGTGCTGTTGCAGCCATTGTTTTGTTGAATTACTTGTATGCTTTGGGTCATTGTCCTGTTGCATTACCCATCCTCTGCGGAGCTTCATTTGGCGAACAGATGGTCGTACGTTTTCCTGCAAAATGTCTTGATAAACTCTGGAATTCATTTTCCCATCAATGACAACAATCCGTCCAGGCCCTGAGGCAGCAAAGCAGTCCCAAACCATGATGCTCCCTCCGCCATGTTTTACAGTGGGGATGAGGTTTTGATGTTGGTGTGCTGTGCCTTTTTTTTCTCCACACATAGTGTTGTGTGTTCTTCCCAAACAACTCAATCTTGGTTTCATCTGTGCACAGTATATTTTGCCAGTAGTGCTGTGGAACATCCAGGTGCTCTTTTGCAAACTTCAAACGTGCTGCAATATTCTTTTTGGACAGCAATGGCTTCCTCCGTGGTGTCCTCCCATGTACTCCATTCTTGTTTAATGTTTTCCTTATTGTAGATGTGTCAACAAAAATGTTAGCATGTGCCAGAGATTTCTGTAGGTCTTTAGCTGACACTCTGGGATTCTTCTTTACTTCATGCAGCATTCTGTGCTGTGCTCTTGCAGTCATTTTTACAGGACGACCACGCCTAGGGAGAGTAGCAACAGTGCTAAACTTTCTGCATTTGTAGACAGTCTGTCTTACCGTGGACACGTGAACATCAAGGCTTTTGGAGATACTTTTGTAACCCTTTCCAGCTTCATGCAAGTCAACAATTTTTGATCGTAGGTCTTCTGAGAGCTCTTTTCTGCGAGGCATGGTTCACATCAGACAGTGCTTCTTGAAACCAGTAAACCCAAAACAGGTGTGTGTTTTTTAAGGGCAGGACAGCTGTCAGCAACACATCCAATATTATCACACTGATTGGAGTCAAGGTTGGCTCACTCCTGGCTCCAATTAGCTCTGGGAGAAGTCATTAAGCTAGGGCCTCACATACTTTTTCCTCCCTGCGCTGCGAATGTTTACATGTTATGTGCAATTAAACCATGGCAACATCTAATGTTTGTGTAGTATTATGCTCAGCAGACTGTGTTCTTCTATTGTTGTGACTTAGATGACGTTCAGAGCACATTTTATGCCCAATTCATGCAAAACTCCACGTAATCCCAAGGGGTTCACATACTTTTTCTTGCAACTGTATATATAGTATGTATGTGCGTACTGTTACTGCAGACCAGATTTGTTGTGATTATTATTTTTACCTTTAATGGCTCTTATTCGGCTACCTTACTAGAGAATTACGATAAATAGCATTTCATTTTTTATTTTGTAAAATAGTTTTGAAGTATATGTCTGAAAGCCCAACTCCGGGAAAAGTAAAAATCCGGCCTTGCAGTAAGGCTACGCCAGCATTGCATAAGTTAAATGCTAGTTTAGTCTAAGGTGGAGGTCGACAACCCACCAATTGCAAGCAGGTGATAGGTATATCATGTTCCTTTCCTTCTGACCCCCTGGACAGGAGGGTATGCGTGGTGGCATTTACTGGAACCATTTCCCTGTATTTTCCTCCTGCAGCAGATGAAATCCTGCTTCTCCTCTTCTCCCTCCTGCTGGCATTCAGCTGCAGCAGGAGGAAAATACAGGGATCGGTTCCAGTAAATATAATTACTAAATATGCCACTCAAACAAATGTTACCCTACAATGTGAAAAATAACTATAAACAAAGTCCAAAAATTATTAAAGTCCAGAAAAATTCATTAAACCGCACAAGTGTCCTCCAAAAAGTCATCAAGGTGAATTCACAAAATTTTCCAAATGTTAGACCCTCCCAAAGGTTTTCATGACCAATGTTACCTCAAAAAGAAAGAAATCATACATAGTGCATTATCGTTCTTAAATAAACACTACAAAACAATGTGTGAATTCACTAAACTGTGTAACACACATGTGACCACTCTTCAGTGAAAATAAGTGCATAAAATGTGTTAGTGAACGTGCCAAAAACAAGTGACAAAACCATTGTCCACTTCTAATTAAAGTAAGGAGTAAATACCCTTACCAAAACACAATATTAATCTCGCCTTAATACCATCCAGATATACTGCGACAATAGGATAGCCCTTCTGGAAAGATCTTTCAAGATACCATACTCCCTTGATGTCATCTGGGTGTCAGGGCAGGAACGCTGGAATGGGCAGGCAGGCCTATGGTACAGTCACGCTGCGACTGACGACAGCCACTACCCACAGACCAGAGCCCCTCAGGGCGCGGAGTCTAAGCCCCAGGCTACCCTTCACCAGGGCCCCTGATGGTGGGGATGGACTTGACGCAGCCTGAGACCAGGTCGCGGCCCCCGAGTGACCCCAGCTGCGATAACGACTGCCACCAATGGCGTACAGCTGGTGGGAGCTAGATGGGAACACGAGTAGAGTAGTCAGACAAGCCGGGTCAATAACAACGGAGCAGACAGTACTAGACGGTAGGCAAAGAATACTCAGGTCACGGGCCGGGTCAGCAATGGAAGGTCAGGTAAAGGGTTAACACAGAGAGTAGTCTTGTCCAAGCCGAGTCGGTTACCAGGAGAGCAATGGGAACAACACAAGAGCTTGCAACAGGGCAACATACAGGACACAAGTGCAGAGCACACTTGCAGACAGCAGGTTTAAATGTGCTCAACCACACCCTTCTGAGGAGGAGCCGCAGAAGCCTGAAGGCATAAAGGTTCCCACCATGCTTTGCAGAAAACCAAGATGGATGCCAGCTCATGGAGATGCACAAGCTCTGAAGAAAGGTAGGACCTTGACACTGGGTTCATCACCATACACACTCCATATTCCTCATCGTACCATGCTCCACCAAGATACCAATATATGAAGAGTATAATAGTGTAATATCGCCAACACACCATATAAAATACTTTATTAATAATCTCACATAATAATAGCCTTTAAAACCACCTTAAAAAACGACATTCCAAACCTATCTGTCGTCCAAAGAACATCCACAATGTTTGGTATGCATCTTGCCACTTTCCTAAATGGCCGCTACTCCACTTCCGGTTCCAGTGTGTGTCTGACGTCACTTCCCTTGATACGTTTCGTCATCGGACTTACTCATAAGGGATACTCATATTATAGTTTCCAAATACACTATATTGCCAAAAGTATTGGGGCACCCCTCCAAATTATTGGATTCAGATGTTCCAATCACCTCTATGGCCACAGGTGTATAAAATCAAGCACCTAGGCATGCAATACTGCTTCTACAAACCTTTTTTAAAGAATGGGTCGCTCTCAGGAGCTCAGTGAATTCAAACGTGGTACCGTGATAGGTTGCCACCTGTGCAATAAGTCCATCCGTGAAATTTCCTTGCTATTAAATATTCCCATGGTCAACTGTTAGTGGTTTTATAACAAAGTGGAAGCAACTGGGAACAACAGCAACTCATGAAGTTGCAGGCCACAAAAAATGACAGAGCGGGGTAAGCACACGCTGAAGCGCATAGTGTGCAGAAGTTGCCAACTGTCTACAGCGTCAATAGCTAAAGACCTCCAAACTTCATTTCGTCTTCTGATTAGAACAACAACCGTGTGTAGAGAGCTTCATGGAATGTGTTGCCATGGCTGCGCAGCAGCATCCAAACCTTACATCACCAGGTGCAGTGCAAAGAATTGGATGCAGTGGTATAAAGCACACTGTCACTGGACTCTAGTGCAGTGTTCTCTGGAGTGACGAATCATGCTTTTTTGTCTGGAAATCCGATGGACATGTCTGGGTTTGCCAGGAGAATGGTACTTGCCTGACTGCATTGTGCCAAGTGTAAAGTTTGGTGGAGGGGGATTATGATATAGGGAACTCTTAAGGGATCAGCATACCAAGACATTTTGGGCAATTTCATGCTCCAAACTTTGTGGGAACAGTTTGGGGATGACCCCTTCGTGTTTCAACATGACAGCGCACCAGTGCACAAAGCAAGGTCCAGAAAGACATGGATGAGCGAGTTTTGGATGGAGGAACTTGACTGGCCTGCACCTCAACCTGATAGAACACCTTTGGGATGAATTAGAGCAGAGATTGCGATCCAGGCCTTCTCGTCTGACATCAGTGCCTGACCTCACAAATGTGCTTCTGGTCAAGTATTACCATAGACACACTGATAAACCTTGTGGGCAGCCTTCCTAAAAGAGTGGAAGCTTTTATAGCTGCAAAGGGTGGGCCAACTCAATAATAAACCCTACAGACTAAGACTGGGATGCCATTAAAGTTCATGTGCATGTAAAGGCAGGCATCCCAATACTTTTGGCAATATAGTGTATTTCAAAGGTAATTAACCCAGCCAAGAGCAAGAAGGACTTATCATTAAGGTAAGCTACAGTACACATTATCTCTACAGTGTGTGCACAATTATTAGACAAGTTGTATTTTTGAGGATTAATTTCATTATTGAACAACTACAGTGCTCTTGGTCAATCCAAAATGATAATAAACCTCAAACCTAAATATTTAGGAAAGTAAACGTGAGGCTTTGGCTTTTTTAGGAGAATATCTATGTGTGCACTATTATTGGGCAACTATTAGCATGCAGAATTATTATGCAACTAAATGAAAAATGAAATTGTTCTGATATTTCTCACATTTAAAAAAAAAAAAAAATCAGTGACCAATATGGCCACCCTTCTTTTCAATAATATCATAAGCCTTCCATTCATGGAGTCTCTCAGTTTTTTAGATCTGTTGACAATCAACTTTTTGTGCAGCAGCAACCACAGCCTCCCAGACACTGTTCAGAGAGGTGTACTGTTGTTCTTCACCATAAATCTCAGATTTATGAAGGGCCCACAAGTTCTCCATAGGGTTTAGGTCAGGTGAGGAAGAGGGCCGTGTTGTTATTGTTTCATCTTTAATGCCTTTACTGGCTAGCCACACAGTGGAGTACTTCGATGCATGCAATGGAGCATTGTCCTGCCTAAATATCATGATCTTCTTAAAAGATGCAGACACTTTCCTGCACTACTGCTTGAAGAAAGTGTCTTCTAAAAACTGGCAATTGGTTTGGGAGTTGATTTTGAGTCCATCTTCAACCCGAAACGGTTCAACTAACTCATCTGTAATAATACCAGCCCATACCATTACCCCGCCTCCACCTTACTAGCATCTGAGTCGAAGTGGAGCTCTTTGCCCGTTACTGATCCAGCCACGGGCCCATCCATCTGGGCAGTCGAGTCACTCTCATCAGTCCATAAAACCTTTGAAAAATCTGCCTTCAGACATTTCTCGGCCCAGTCTTGATGTTTCAACTTATGTGTCTTGTTCAGTGGTGGTCGGGCTTTAGCCTTCCTTACTTTGGCCACCTCTGAGCACTGAACACATTGTACTGCTGAGCGCCCCAAGTAGGTTGCAGTTCTGGAATATGATAGCACTGGAGGACAATGGGTTACTGGTAGCTTCACGTTTGAGTCTTCTCAAATCTTTGGCAGTTAATTTGTGTCTATTTTTTCTCAGCACGTTTCTTGCGACCCTGTTGACTTTTTGCAACAAAACTGTCATATGTTAGATTGCACTTTTGTTTGTGTTCTTATCTTTCTTGCTGCAGTCCTGTTTCTGATCCCTTCTCATGTTTGCCTGTGTTCATCTATGGGCGTCGTCTGCTGTCCTCTGGGTTTTATTTCCTTCCCTTCCATCACTTCCTGTCCCGCCTCCTTGGTTGTCTATCTAAATAACACGTGCTCAGACTAGACCACTTTGCCTGAGCAACTTCTTAGTTGTTGGAGCTCCCATGTGTTTCTGCTGTGAATCTTATATTGTCTACCTGTGTACCGACTCCGGCTTCGTTCCTGACCTTGCTTGTTTTCCTGTAGAGGAAGATGAAAGAAAGAGCGCACAAACCTTGCGCATTACCTAAATAAATAGTGACTAATTTTATTAATAAGGAAATATACTCACAAAATGATTGTATAACAGGCATAAGTAACCATAATCCAAACAGGGTTACAGGTAAATCAAAAAGGGGGGGGTATGAAGGCTAACGCGTTTCGAAGGGTGCTCCCTTCTTCATCAGAGCTGGGTTTGGCAGATAGAAACTTCAGTATGGCAGAATTCCCATGGCAAGGAGATATTCAGCCACTGAGTGTCAGTATTACAGCAGTGTGTATTACAGCCTATTGACTTCTATGGGAACCGTTTCTAAACCGCACATGCGTGAACAGGATAAAATCCTGTCTTAGTCCTGTCCTGAACCTGATGTAAACCTAATATGAATTGCTGAACAACTACTGTATCAATTACCTGTGAAACCAGAGCTTCAATCTGCACTGCACATGTGTTAATCCACTCTTTAGAAAGGCAGCTCAACCAATCACAAATAACTTTTAATGGTCTGACTTTAAAGTGACAGCAGAAATGTTTATGAATGCTTCCTCACACAATTAGCCTAATCACTTGTAAATAAAGCTGTAAAAAGAATACAGTTAATAGTGCCTAGAACTCCAGTTTTTTTTTCAGGCCACCCGTGTCCAAAAATATTTTGCTGGCAATTTGGTATTATAGAAACATTTCCTTTTTAATCTCAAAATGCAGAGGAGATTCCTGACCAAACTCACCACAGTTTTGATTTTTAGAAGGGATATATCCATTGGGGTAGATTTACTAAAACTTGGTGCGCTCAGAATATGGTGCTGCTGTGCAAGGTAGCCAGTAAGCTTCTAAACTTAGCTTGTTTATCTAAGCTTTGGCAATAAAACCTGGAAGCTGATTGGTATCTATGCAGACCTGCACCTAATTTCTCACTCTCCAGCTTTAGTAAATAACTCCCATAACTTAATTGCACAGCATATTGTACTGCAATCGACCCTCCTCTATAGTTTATCTGAGGTGTGTCCTTGCCTCTCTGCTTTCAGGGCACTGCCTGATGCTCAGTGTGCCCAAATGGTGGGATGCTATGCTGTTGGCCATAAATCAGTATCTGATTTTGTCTTTCCTTGATGGCATTAGCAGAACTCAAACTTATCTTTACTTGTCTTTTGGAGTTACTCTTTAAAGTTGATCGTCAGCCAACTTTATTTCTACCAAATGTCAGTTTTCTATTGCACTCTGTGTCAGAGCTGTGAGGGTCCCTTCTTATTCACTGTTCTGAAAAAAACAGAGGGTAAATTTCAATGTTGACAGCTGCTGTCACTGGAACAAAAAAATCTTTCAGTTGGGCCATTGTGTCATGAAAACAGACAAAAATTTCCTATCTCTTCCTTTCTAGACAAGAAATATAGGGAAATCTGAAAATGAGCAGAATAACTGCTTGAAAGGATCTAACCCTTCTCTGCTCTTTCCAAAACAAACAAAATTTTGATTGGAGTTCCACTTAAATGATTAACTCATCCACTGTATCACAATATTCTCTGCCCATAGAAGGTTAATGGTTCATTACCAGAAGTTACAGGTCAGCAGTACCTACCCATGTGGCATAGTCAAGATTTTATACGACTTGCTAATTCTTTCACTTAGACTGGTGCTTAGGTGTCTCTACATAAATCAAGTATCACTCATCCAGAAACTCTCATAGGAAATCTGAGACAAATTCCCATGTTGGGATTAATGCCTATATAACACAACCGTAGGATGTTCCTTCACATCAAGTACATCTGTCAATGCTAATGGCTTGGGCTTTGCTATCTCATGCCCCCCTATAGGTGTGGGGACATCACAAGAGCATGTCACAATGATGTATAGAGATAGAAAGTGTCCAGAGAACATAATGATGACAAAGTACTGCCTTCAGGCCATAGAACATTTTCAACATATGGGAAGACAGAAAGCCAAAAGCACCTTCTCGTGAAGACTGAAATTCATGCATCATAGACTGCATTCATTTTTAAGAGTCATGAAATCTGTAGTACTTGCCGTTTTGTTGAGGCACAGGAAATCCATCTTGAGTTAGAAATATGTAGTCACCTTCTAAATATCCAGATTAAAGCATTATTCAAACATTCAAACACCTGAACAAATCAAATATTGTTATATCATGAAATGCAGTACCTTAAGCCATGGGGTTGATTATGATGAAGATCTGGATAGTCATGCCAATGAAACATAATGGTTGATTCTTGTCTTTTGTATTATTTTATTACAACTACATATGTATTTAGTGCTGACAATGTATGTACATTTGCGTCAGAAATGTATTTCAGTGAAAGTGTTTCAGTTTACCTTAAAGGTTAACTCCAGAAAAACTGTAGATGAAACACATGTGGGAGCTGTCTTACCTTTCAAAGGATTAATAATTCCGCTTATCTGGTCAAGAGATTCACACAGGCTTGCCAGGCAGCAGTTGGTGACCTGACTTCTCTACTGCATTTAGGGCAACATACTGTAGCTAGCTCACCTTATTGCCCTAGCCTGTGTTAAGACAGAGCAGCAAGCTAACATCATTCCTCTGCTTTCTCCTCATGTTAGCATGTTCCTTCAATGCACAGCAAAACACGTGCTCTCTGTGTAATGTGTTGCAGTGCCATTCGTTGTGAGGGAATTGAAGGACCACACAGTACACCACAACATACATACCATGGCATGTGGTGCGCTGCATTGCTAAAAGGGTTATGTGTGTGTGTGTTTTTTTTTTTTTTGTTGTTTTTTTTTTTTTTTTTATCCATTGCAGTGCTCTGGAATCCCAATCCTATTGAATGTGCTGCCTTAAAACAACAAACATTAATGTGCAAAGTACCATGTATTAACACACCACAGTGGATCACTATGGTGAGAATCAGCCCTAAATGATTTCATTAAAGAATATCGGACAATTTCATAAAAAATGTGTATGCCTCCAAAAGCTAATAAAT